GTGGGGGGGGCTGCGGGGAGGGGAGGGGGCCTGCCCTTACACCAACTTTTGGACTCAATGTAGCCTGTGAGGCACTTGAGCAAACATACAGAATCGACTTGGCCTTGCCTGTGGGATCGTGTCCCCTGTGATTGGGGCTGAGCCAGGTGGGTGATCCACTGGGTTTTCTTTCCATCCAGGGACTGAAAAGGAGCCCCAACAAGCTCTGAGAACAGATTTGGGGGCTCTTTTTGGTGGTCAGAAGCCCTCCCCACACCTGCCGGCACCCTGCGATTTTTTTAATTGGGTGAGCACTTTTTTAAAAGTGTGTGTGTGTGTGTGTGGAATTTGTAGGTGGAAAAGCAGCCTCTGGGTGCAGCTTATGGGCAAGCCCCTGGAAGGGCTGATCCCGTGGGCTTTCCGGCAGGGGGGGGCCTCCCCCTTCCCTCCAGTCTGGAATGTGTGGGGGAGGAGCTCTTTTTCCTTTTAGGAAAGGGGCTCCTTGAAAATTCTCCAGAAGGAAAGAGGGAGGGAGGGAGGACAGCGAGAGGGTCTGTTTTACCCCTTGCGTTTTTGGTGTGTGTGTGTGTGTGTGTCAGGTTCCCCCTTTGTTTTCCAAAGTGTCTCAGCTTGCAATGACAAGGCCAAGGGGGGTGGGGGTGGGGGATAAACTTTTCCTGGAAGGTGGGAGTTGCAAGATCTGCCTAGAGCGGTCTGCGCTTTGCTGGAGAGGGCTGATTGTTCCCAGATGTGTCTTGCAAATACATCTGTTTTTTCTAACGTGTTAATCGCCAGTGTTTGGGGGACCGAGCGTCTCCCTTCGCTGCTCTCAACAGATTGGCATCTTGGGCTGTGTCCAGCTTGAGGCTGCGAATGAGGACGAGGTCACTCCCCCATCCCAATTCCCAGTCATCCCTCTGTGCATGCTCAGAGGTCTTATGTGGTCTGCTCCGCCCACCCAGATACCTTGCATTTTCAAGCAGGTCATCGACAGAAAGACAAGGGGCTGATGTTGGCCACAGAGTCCTGGCATTTTTCAAAAAGCCTTCTTATGCAAAGACAGGTATCCCTGCCAAGCAGGACACGGGAGTCCAGACAACCTGCTGGAGTTTGGTACCTCTCACCTCTGGAAAAGGCCGGAGGGAGGCTCATCAATCACAACGTCCTGCTGCCAGGCTAGTGAAGCATCAACCAATAGTTGTGCCTCTCAGCATATGAAGGGGACCTCCTCTGGACCGGATCCAGCATTTCTGGGCTGCCGTTCTTTCTGCCCTGTCACATGGAGGCCACTGACATCTTACTACTGGATGCATAGATATGTGTAAATATGTTTGTCTCTCTCTCTCTCTCTCTCTCTGTGTGTGGAAGGGAGAGAGGTACCTTTGCATAAAAGTGCAAGAGGAGGATGTGTAAAGTCACAACATCTTTGTTGTGGAGTTCAGTACGGCATGGACATGCTGAGGCAACTCGCTGTAACCCATAAATGACTTCTGCAGAAATGGAAGAAAAAATTCCAGGAAACTTTCCTGAAGTGCAAACTGGGATCAGCTCCAGTCTTTGCAGGCAGTGGCTCGGGATTTGCCTTCCCTTCACTGCCAAAAAGCGCCTCGATTAGGTTTCAGACGTTGGCAGACACAGCTGGCTGGGCCCGAGTAGAGGACAGGACGGCTCTCTCTCTCTCTCTCTCTCTCTCTGTGTCTGTGTGTGTGTGTGTGTGTGTGTTTGTGTGTGTGTGTGTGTGAGAGAGAGAGAGAGAGAGAGAGAGAGAGAGAGAGAGAGAGAGAGACCGATCCTTACTGCTCCTGTAGTGTTGGACTGACCGTCTTGTTCATGCATGCAGAAATCAAAGCAATTGCAACATGGATGGGATGGTTGTCCTTCCCCAAGAGAAGGTTTTGAACAATGGCTTGGTCTGGCTGAGGCCTCAGGCTCCCCTGCTCACGGCACCCCTCCCTTCCCCCCCCCCCAGAGAGAGAAAGCCAGCTTGAGAACAAGCCCTTCTTGGCACCCTGCTACCAAACCCACCCACAAGGACCCAAGAAACCCAAAGGAGCTCCTGTCCTTTGATTGCCAGGTGCCTGTTCCTCAGAGATCGATGGTGCTGGGAGAGTTCAGTCCAGAGTTCTGTTCTGGAGACTGCTGGAGAGGCCAGACAGCACGCGGCTCTTATCCTTGAGCATTTTGGCAGGCTCAGCTGGGAGGAAAATGCACTTTGCACGTGAGCAGAAGTCCTGTTCTTTCATGAATTCCAGGGGCTCTGTCCCGTAGAGAGGAGGGCCAAGCTGACCCCATGTGGATTCAGCTCACATTCAGGAAGATTACAAATATCACCAAGGCCTGCCTCTAAAGCAAGCTGCCATTCAAAAGAGAAACCGTGTTATTTCCTCCAACTCCAGACGAGCAGTTTGAAAAACAGATCCTAATGAGTGAAGCCTTTTGGACATATCTGTCCCAGTTTTGTGTCTCTTGTTCAACTCGCCATCTGCACAATCAGCTTTGGACTGGCTCCCTGCCACCCCCAAATGCGGCTAACCACACATCTGGCAGCTTTTATCCTTGGTTCCCCCTCGGGCCCCCACAGACAGCCTCCCCCATTTGAGGGGGGGGGAATTCCTGAGCCAGTGGGAGGACTTTGTTAGTTCTGCAAAAGGGCACAGGATCAACACCAGCTTTGCAAAGTCTGCAGAAGAGGTTGTCAGCTGGGTTGACTTTGGAAGGGTGATGCTGGGGGCCGGCTTGTTGCTCTCCTGGACACACACACACACACACAGACACCCCGGGGGATGAGGAGGGAGGGAGGGAGGGGGAAGGGCCGAAACACCCCTCGCCAGCCAGAGTCTGGTCTCTGCCTGAGATCCTTTTGCGGTTTTGCTCCTCACTGGGAATAGCAGCGCTTTTCCTTCCGTTGGACCAGAACACACCCTGCAGCCTTCAGAGAGTCTGTCGGATGCCCAGCAAACTCTGTCATATTTACCCAGCGCTAGACGCTTCCCGCTCTCGATTTGAACAGCAACAACAACTGGATAGCTCCGAGGACATGACACGGAGGGCCTTGCATAAGACAGTGCTAAGATCGTTCAGACTGGCCACGGCTGTAGGAGGGCTGAGCAACCTAGGCACTGGAGCCAGGGGCGGGAAGTGGAAGGCATTTGTCATGTACTATATACCTAACATCTGCAATCCACGGTCACACACTGACAAACCTACAAGGCGCTAGTGAGCCTCAAGGGAGGCCAAAATGAACACGGAACTGCAGTCGATCTCCACGGAACTGCAGTTCGAAGAGCAGTGTGGGTTCTTCTGCCCGCAGCTGAATCTCTCCCGTCTGCCTGCCAATGGCTTCCCTTTGCTGTGCTTCCTTCCAGCTCCTGCTACCTGCTGGCTGACAGCCCTGCGGTGCGACCCCAGGCTGAGAATGGGTGCCCTCCCTCTCTTTCTCCTCTGCCTGCCAGGTGAGTAGGGGGTCCGCCAAGGGAAGGATTTCAACAGAGCCTCCTTAAAAACCGTCCTGCCAGGCGCCTCTGGCTTCCTGGCTGATCAATGCCAGGCTGAGCATCCATCGGAAGCAGCTTAAAGGGAAGAGATCTTTCATGGCGGCCTCCTCCGGGCCCTGGCAGCAGCCGGTCGGAGCCCTGAGCGAGGCTATGGGGAACCCTTCGCCCACCAGCCTCCGCCTTGGGGGTTCCCCAGACATGGAGATGGACACCACCGCAGCTGCTCCCAGGCCGTAGAGGGGCCAGAGTCAGCCTCCCCTCCCCTCCTCTCTGGGGTGGGCCAGTCGAGAGAGGGTCTCTGAGCCTCTGGGGTTCAAAGGGAGGGAAGCGTCCGGTGGGTTGTTAGGGCATGACTCAAAAATACCTGTCCCCCACCCACCCAGCATGACGCTCACCCTTGGTGGCAAGTCCTGGGAAGACAGGTGGACAGGGTGGGGCTCCCAAGGTGCCCTCACCCCCCCCACAGGGAAGCCCTAAGCAGCCCTGCCTGCTGGACAAGGAACACCCCACGGCCACACTCAACTAGACTTCATGGGATGGCCGCTCCCTCTTGCACGAGGGCTTTCTCTAAAACAGAGGGTGCAAGTAAGGGCTGGGGGGGGAACCACCACCCCACTCCCTGCGCTAAGGGGAATGGAGGTGCCCCAAAGGACAAGGAAAGGGCACCATGTTGTGTTGTGTGTTGTGGAGGGCAGGCACCTCTCAATGCTGGGCCATTAAGCATCACTGATTTCACAGTTTAGTATTCAACACTACGTAGAAAAGCTGAGCCCATAGAGCCTATTTGAGAGGGTTGATTTAAGCATGCGGAGGCAGGCAAAGAGCGGAGAGAAAGGAGCGCAGTTGTTCAGCAAGGCTTGCCGGGGACCTTCTTTGTTAGCCACACCAGGAAGTGGGGTCGTGGTGGTGGTGAGGGGGGGGGTTGTTTTCACTTGTGTTTATATTTCTAGGGCCCCAAAAGCTGCTTTCCCCCCCCTTTCCCAAGGGGGAGGGGGGCCGCTTGGGTGTGAGTTTCTTTCTATACTCTTTTAATCATTGTCTTGTGATATTGTATTTATAGGACAGGCAGGAGGAGCGCAGGGGTGGGGGTGGAAATTTTAAAAAATTACATAGACCTTTTAAAGGGTGAGCGAATAAATTCCATCTAAGCAGGAGCCAGACGTAGTGTTGGCAAGTTTTTGGTAATGCTTAATAGCAGCGGCAGGAGGAGGAGGAGGTGGCAGTGGCTGTAAGGGAGGAACAAGGGTTTGCCACCCCCTCCAGGAAAGCTCCTCAACCTGCCTTCCTGACCTGGATAGAGGTGGGGGGGACAGGAAGGCTTCCTCAAGAGCAACATCATGGCAAAAGAGGCTCTTGGCCTTTGGGCCACCAAGATCCCGGGGAGGCCGTGCAAGGCAAGTTCTTCCTAAGACGGGGGGGGGTGAGGGGAGCTCCCCGTGTGGGGCAGACGTGAGCCCATGACAGGAGGGGAATGTGAGCTAGGGATGGGAATGCTTCCCTCCTGCCCCCTTTTCTCTTTGAACAGCAGCCCTCCTTGCTCAGGGCCAGTATGACATTGAGGATCCCACTTACCATGATACGCCGTATGTCCCGTATGAAATCGGTGAGTCTTGCCGTCCGACCTTTCTGCCCTGAATGCGTCACATGGGGTGGGCTGAAGGCAGCCCTCGCGGGGGTGGGGATGCACGGCAGCAGCTCCCTTGGGTGCCCCCTCCAGGGGTAAAGAAGGCAAGAGGCTGGAGGCCAACGTCTCCCTGGAGAGCGGCTTTCACCAGCAGCCCCTTTTTCTCTTCCTGCTTTTTTTTTGTTTTCCAGAAAATCAAGACTACTATGACTATGCTGGCAATGGTGAGCTCCCTTCCCTTTCAGCCTGGCTTTCGGGAGGGCGGTTTCTGGGGAGGGGGGAGGAGGCTTCCCCAGACCCACTGGGGCTTTGACTTGGGTGTGAGAGTCAGGAGGGTTACCAGAGCCGTTGAATGAAGTACACTGAGCACCCCCTTCCTGTTTCAGACATCTCCCCACAGACCCCAGAAGAGCAGTATCAGTATCAGTCACAGCAGCAGAACCAGCAAGAGGTCATCCCGGCCCCAACCCCAGGTAAAAGGCACTCCCCCTCTCCGGCAGGAGCCTAGCGGGCGTCTCACACCTCCTGGGGGCGGAAGGGACCCACCCTCATGGCTAGGGACCACCTGCTGGGGCCCTTGATCTGCTCCAGGCAGGGAGACGGGCCTTCCTCTGCTCCCGTCTCACCCTTTCCTCTCCATCCCTTTCTGTGCCCTCGCATTCTCCTTCCTTCTGCCTCTTTTCAGACCTGCCAGAGACTGAGCCCACCGAACCTGGTCCTCTAGGTAAGGGTCAAGGCAGTTGCCATAAAAGGCTCTGGCCGGGGGGGGGGAGGCATCCCCGGGGAGGAGGAGGGCCGCTTGTATCTCCTCAAGGCGGTTTGTCAAGTGAGGGAAAGCGGTTTCAGGTACACAGAAGAGTTGAGCCTTCCTCTTCCCTACAAATGGGAGAGATCCTCCACGCCGGTCCCCTTCCGGACTTCATCCCATCGGGGCGCTGCGGTTCCCATGACCTCACCGGACCTCCGGGATCCCGGCCTTCTCCTTCCTCCTGCTCTTTACCTGCTATTCAGGATGGCCTGAACGGTGCCCAGAGTGGTGGTGGGGGGGGTGCAGCCTTCCTTCTGGAGAGCAGCCATTGCAAGATGGAGGAGGGCCGCTTGTATCTCCTCAAGGCCACCATTCTCAACTGGGGAGAGCTTTTCATCCCAATGGAAAGCAACACAAAGCGGAGGAGTCCAAGGCTTCGGGAGTGTCACCATCCTCTCCGGGACAGCCCCCGGAGTGACTGCTGCATCACAGTTGCCAATTCTGCAGCCGAAAGCAAGCAGGCACCCGGCCCGCAGCTGACCACAGGGTGGGACCAAACTGTGATGGACCGGTGCCACCCAAGACAAGCCGGAGCCCTCACCCGGGGGAGACCTTTTGCCTCCCGCCGTGACCGTATGCCTTGCCTTCCCTTCTAGACTGCCAGGAGGAGCAGTACCCCTGCACCCGCCTATACTCAGTCCACAAACCCTGCAAGCAGTGCCTGAATGAGATCTGCTTTTACAGGTAAGCCACCCTTTTTCCCTTGGCCTTCACCTGAGGTCAAGCAGAACCCGAGACATGTTTCCCAACACACCACAACTATAGATACATCATCTATACATACAGACACAAACACAGTGGGTCTGTGCGTGTTGTGCCTACGCATAAACACATGCACACAAACCACCCAAGACAGGCGTAGCTTGTGCATCTACACCACAACGGACATCGACCAAGAGTCCAATGTAGATGCACAAGACAGGCGTAGCTTGTGCATCTGCACCACAACGGACATCGACCAAGAGTCCAAGGTATCAAATCCTGGCCTTGTGCGTATCCACTTTGGTGAACGATTCCCATCCTCCTTTGATGGCAGTGGTCACGGCGATACCAACTGAGGTTTCCTCCTTTCACTTCCAGCCTCCGCCGGGTTTACGTGATCAATAAGGAAATCTGTGTCCGCACCGTCTGTGCTCAGGAGGAGCTCCTCAGAGGTAAGCAAGCAGAAAGCGTGGCCGTCACCCATGAGGCCACTGACGTTATCTGTGGCACACCAGAGTGCACGGGGGGTGGTGGGTGGCTGAGTAAGTGAGAATTGTTACTGCATGTTGGACCTGCTTCTGCCCTGATGTACACCAGGGACAGACCGCTGAACGAGTCAGGTTGCCTGAAGCCCGAGTGCTTCGAACGGTGGGCGAATGGGTGGCAGCTGTTGTCCCCCAGGGCACGCGAGAGTTGCCCATCCTGGGAGACTGGCTCAACCCTGGGCAGAGCTGTGGCCGGTGGCTGACGGGCAGTTCCCTCTGCCTCTCTCCCCCCCACTCCACAGCTGACCTTTGCCGGGACAAGTTCTCCAAGTGCGGCGTCATGGCGACCAGTGGCCTCTGCCAGACCGTGGCCATCTCTTGTGCCAGAAGCTGTGGTGGCTGCTAAGCTGGGACGGTGGATGTGGAAGCAGCAGCAGCAGCAGCAGGAGGAGGAGGGGCCCCCCTTTGCACCCCAGAGGCTGTGGAGGCTGCTCTGTCTGCAGCCACGGAAGGAACCAAAGAAGCCTCATCGGAACACCAGGGCTTGGTCCCTGCACTCCCTCCCCCTCCCCTTGGTGCTATGGGATCATGGCACAACACACAGGGCCACTGTGTGTTCATTAATAGCCTAGTGTGTTTCTTTTTAATGTGTGTGTGCATATTCGTGTGTGTAATGTTTTGTATTCTTGGGGTCTTTTCTGGAAGAGCTGCTGGGGAAGGGAGCAATCAAGGAAAAACTACACTCCCCCCCTTCCCTGGAACATCGTTAGGGAACCTCAAAGGACTGCTGCCTTGCCAAACTCCCTCCCTCCCTCCCTCCCCCCCCCGACACACAGGTTGCTCCTGCAGTTTCGCAGTTCTGGGGGCCACACAAACAGAGGAACAGCCAGGACTCAAAACCCCTGTCAAACCACAGATTGCATTTAACCCCAACCAGCGAGTTGACACTCCGGAGGATGCTGGTTCTTTTCTCCATCTGTAATTGTGACTCTCCATTTTCTATGGGGGAAAAACCCTCTCCCCACCCCTTCCTACAAAATGTTTTACAACAATAAACCAAAAGTGTTACAACTTGGTTTCTGACACATTTGTGACAGAGCTGGAGAGCAAAGGGTTTCTGTTCCCCATGGTGTGGAAACGTGCAGGACACTTTTTGCTCACGCTTTCCCTCCCCCTCAAAGGAAGCACAGGTGGGTTCATATAAACTGGGAGGTGGGCAGGGGGAGGAGGGGGAAAAGGCACCTTTATTTGGGCTGGGTCAGCAGGGGGTGGGCCACAGTTCAAACCTATCCATAACAGGAATAAGTATGACTATAAAAAAATAGTTCTCTACTTTTCTTAAAAGTTAATTGTTATATAAAAAATAATCTAAAACAAAAAAAAATTATTATGATGTATATATGTACACAATTAGTCTCTGTATTAGGGTCAACCTAGCCTTGGTGAATTTTAAGGGCCATGAAGGGTGGCCTTCTTGTCTCCTGGGGTAGGGCTATGAAGAAATGTGCCTACTCCAAAGGAGACTTTTAGGCAGGGTGGCGAACACAGTCCCACCTCCAAATAAACCGGGCCATCAAGCCAAGAACTCCCATCCATGCTGAGAAGCCACGGCTGACGCAGTAGCAGCACAACAGACATTCCGGGGGATGATCTGGAGCAGGAGAGCCCCCCCCCCGAAAGGCCACCAAAGAGGGGTAACGGTGTTCTTACAGGATAGTGGCCAGCAGGTCCCAGCAGAGGAGACTTTCCTTCCATGACACGTATCCTTCGGGGGCTCAGCCTTTCCAAAAATGGTTTTGACTGTCAAGCAAACTGGTGCAGGTGAAAGATCTAATGACTTCTCCCAAACTGTCAGTGTGGGGACCTCTTAGGTCCCTCAGGATTCCCTATGAACAGCTGGTTCCTTGGCCGCTGTCACAAGGCGAACCCTCCTCCCCTACCGAGCGAAAGCTGGGGGCTCCGGCTGGAGGTGGTGGCTTGGGCCAAGGGGCAGGCAAGGGGGAAGAAGGGTCTCTCTCTTCACAGCCACGCCGTTCTCAGCAACAGAAGGACGTCCACAGCCTTATTTTCCAGAAAGGATGGTGAGGGGAGCCTGGCCCTTCTGGGTCTCCTGCTGGAGCTGTTCCTTCAGTATTGAAATCTGGCAGAAAGGGGGAGCAGGACAGACACCCTGAGCTGCACAAGGCAGGAACGGATGTTGAGGGGGGGGGAGCGGTGGCAGTGGCAGCAGAAGGATCTGGGAAGGTGACATCTGGCCTCTAGGGCTGCCCTCCCAGGTCCTTCCGTCACACATGCGGGGGGGAGGGGAGAAGGGGGCTTGGATGGGGACAAGGGTAGGATCTCACCTGCTCCTCCAGGCCTTTGATGTGCTGCCGATGGGTCCGCTCCTCCCGGGCATCCGAAGGGCCTTCCGCCTGGAGCTGGGAGCCGTGCAGGCGTTCTGTCTCCACCTGCAGCTTCTGCCGCTGTCGGGTGGACGTCTCGGACAGGGCCTGCTCCAGCTCTGCCACCTGGGCCTGGAAAAGTGGGGTGGGGGCGGGGGTGGAAGAGGAGCATGAAGGGAAAAGAGGCAGCCTGGGAAACACAGGAGAGCCCAGCCTGGCACGCTCGCCCTTTTTTGCCACCGCTGCTGGGCCGCCCAGGAGCTTCTCTGCCATGAAGCTACACCAGAAGGAAGCTCCGTTCCTTGAAGAGAGTAAAAGCAGGTGGAAAACATGTGGTGGTTTCTCTCTCAAAAAGGGAGGGCGGTTACCTCAAGCAGCCGGATCTGCTGCTGGGCCTCCATCAACTCCTGCTCCGCTCCAGTGAGCGACCGGTCCAGGCGCCCCTTCTCCACGGAAAGCCGAACGGAGTCCTCGTGGGTTTTCAGCTTCTCTCGTGCCACCTGGCGAGCCGAGCAGAAGCCCACCAAAAAACAAGAGGGTCAAGATCCGAAAACAGACTCCTCCCCCTCGCAAAAAAAAACCTTTTCCTTGCCACTGGAGCATAAAAGGCAGCCCAGGGGTTCAGGGCCCCCCCCCCCCCGGCACTCATGACGAAGCCACCGTCGCTCCGACAAAAGCCCTCTCTACGAGGCCAGGCTTCCCTCGTGTCGTTCAAATGACTCATTGACTTCTATTGTGGGCTCCCATCCACATACCATCGGATTCCCATTTACTTTCCTGACCTTACACCGCCCAGTGGCCCAAAAGGTATTCGCCAGAGGCAGAAAAGGTGGCAGAACGGGCGCCCAATCCTACTGTTCAGGCGGTCCCTCTGCTGCTACTGCTGCTCTTGAGAGGGTGGGGGTGCCGCCGCCCCCAAAGGGGACTCACCTTGTCCAGAGTCTTCTTGAGGGCATTCTTGTCTTTCTCCAGGCGCAGGGAGCAGCGCTCGGCCTCCCGCTTCTCCCCCTCCAGCTGAGCCAATGCCCGCTGCAAGTGGCCAAGGCGCTCCTGCAGGAGACGCCGGTCCTCCTGCACCTTCTGCAGGCTCCGCAAGGCCACAGCCTCCCCCTCCTGGCGCTGGCGCAGCAGCTGCAGCAGCAGCAACCGAAGGAGAGCAGGGAAAGAGAGGAGGGGGCACGCACACACCCCCACGTGAGGCGGGTGAAGAGCCCGACAGCGCTTCCCGTCCCCTCCCCATCCCCTAGAGAAAGTCTCTCCTAGGCTCCCCTTGGCATGTCCTCTGTCTCTGACCCCCTCGGGGACCCTCCGGGCCTGAAGCACCACCCCAAACCTCCCAGGATGACTGTCGTGAGACCGGTGCCTTCACTCTGCATCGCCTTCCAACATATCACCCACCTTACCTTTCAAGGAACACAAGTCCTCGTTTCTACACAAACCCACTACCACCCTAAAGGCAATGAATAGGGGAGAGAGAGAGAGAGAGAGAGACTCGGACTCACTTCCTCGTGCTGCCTGAGGAGCCCCTCCAGCTCGTCCCGTTGGAGCTCGAGTTCTGCCCGCTCCCCTCTCAGGGACTGCAGTTGCTCCGTGAAGGCCCCGTTTTGCTTCTTGGCTTCTGAAAGCGCCTGGCGGGCTGCCTCTAGGCGCTCCTGACATAAAAACCAAGGGGTTGAAGGGGTTGGCACCCAGCGCTGCTGGCCTGAGGAGTGGCGTCACTCTGCCAGGGCCGTGGCGGTAGCAGTGGCCCACACAAAGCCCTCTCTGTGCCCTGCCTTCCCCCCCCCTCCAGACCCTACCTGTAGGACCCTCCGGTCATGCTCGCTGGCCGTCAGGGCCTTCTGCAGCTCCAGCCCCTTCTCCTGGGCGGAGGTGGCCCTGTGGTGGCTCTCGGACAGGGAGGCGGTCAGCCCCTGCACCTTCTCCTTCAGGGAGCTCTCTGCCTCCACCGCCTTGGCCAGGGAGAGGTGGAGACGATCCAGTGAGAACTGCAGGGAACTGGCCTTCGTCTCGGTTTCTGCCACCTGGGAAACGGGAGGCCGTGGGAGTTGGGTGGGCTCCCTGCAAGGGGCCTTCCGAAAGCCTGGGCCTGACTTCTTGGGGACCATGGCAGAAGGAGTGGGAAGCTCCCTTCCTCTTGTCCCAGAGGAGACCAATGGAAGGAAGGCTTCTTGTCCTCCCACCCTCTGGGAGGCCTTCCCAGCACCTGTGCGGGGGAACCAGACCCGGGACCTCGGAGACCTTTGGGCCTGGTTTCAGCTTCAGGGCTCCTCTGAAGGAGAACGAGGGCTCAAGGGAAGCCCCACCAAAAAAGTTCCCCCTTCTACTCCAGGGGTGTTCCAGAGTGGAAGGGCCCTGTGGATCCCCCTCGCGAGGAAGCCTGCCAGAAAGACACGGGGCCCGTACCTGCCTCTGCAGGAGGTCCACCCGGTCATGGAGCCCCTTGACCTCGGCCTCGCGGTCACTCAGGGCCCCCTTGGCCCGCTGAAGCTCTCCCTCCAGGGACCGCCGGAGGAGCTCGAGCTTGGTGCCGCGGCTCTCGGAGGCATCCAGGACCTCCTTCAGGCGCCGCTTGTCCATCTCCAGCTTGGCCTCGTTGGCCTTCATCTTGTGGAGCTTCTCCTGGGGAAGCCGAGGGAAGAAGGAAAAAGGAGGCCTTTTAAGGGTCTTCCGTGGGACAGGGACGGGGAGGAGCAGGGAGCCTTTTTTCTCTCACAAGGAAGGAAAGGGGAAGAAGGACCAGGCCAGGCCAAAGCCCCTTCTTCCTGCATCCCCTCCCCTCCCACCTTGGAGCCTCATTTCTTCTACCCCTTCTTTTACTCCATCCTCTCTGTCTCTTTCTAGAGAGTACAGAAACTTTTGCTGTATTTCAGGAAAGGACCAGAAAGGGTGAGGGTAGGCAGAGAAATCAACTCATCCCGAAGTGATTCACATACCAGTTTGAGGGCCGTTCAAAGGCCCCTTTCCACTCCCCTCCCTGGACACTCACTTGGGTGGCTCTCCGCTCACTCTCGTCTGACTGCAGGTTGCGCTCCAGGGTGGCCAGCTTGTCCGCCAGGGCCTTGCGCTCCCGCTCGTTGCGGCGCTGGGTCTCCTCTTGCAGCATCAAGGCTGTCTGGGCCCCGCTCAGCTTCTCGTCCATGAGGCGCCTCCCTGAGGAAGAGAACAGGGCTCTAGACAGTGACCGAAGCACGGTCTTGCCGGGCCACCACAAGCAGGCCAGCAATGCTGGAGCTCTGACTCCAAAAATATGTTTTAAGGTTCTGGGGGAAATCCATATCCCTCTAGAGTACACCATTTCCCCAGCCACAGAGCTGACTGACAAACTTATAGGAGGGGCCAGTGAAATGTTCTCCATTTTCCAGGTTTGAAAGGAAGCAACCCCTCCCAAATCGCTGGCTGATCCTCTGGAAAGAGGCATCATTTACTCCCAAAACATGCACCATCCTGCCAAAGGGCAATGGATCATTCAGGAGCCAAGTTGCTTCATTCATGATCAAACTTAGATACATGTACACAGAGAGAGACACACACAAAGGCACACACACGTTTTGTGGACACTTAGGTCAATGGTGGCCTGGACAAGGTGTTTTGTCACTTGCTTTGTAGTAACACACAACGAGCAGACCTTCCTGCACCCTGTCACCCTTTGGGACCAGCAGAAGCCTCCCTCCTGGGACAGGGAAGTCCACTCCTACCTCGCCCAACCTCCCAAATTCTGGATACGAGGCTAAAAGCAGCCACACAAAACAAGTCCTGTCCGGACTTTAGGGCTGGGGGAGGGGGAAGAGTGGGGCCTCTGTGGCCACCCACCCACCCACCTTCTTCACAGGTGGCCAACTGTTTCTGTAGCTGCTGCACTCGGGCACTGGCCATGTCTCGTTCGGCTTCCATCTCAGCCAGTCGGCGGTTCAGGAGACCCAACTGGGAACGGGCTTCATCCTGGATCCCAAGCAGGCAGAACAAGAAGGAGCGTGGAGGAGACAGACAGACCACAAGGCCACCAAAAAGGGCTGGCGATGCCAGGGCCAGGGGCGGCGATGGGGGCAGCAGATGCCCCTGCGAGGGACGAGACCCCTCCCTCTGCTTGCTGCCTTGTCACCTACCCGGTCCCTCTGTGACTCCCTCAGCTCTTGGAGAAAGTCCCGGAGGGCCGCCCGCACCACATCTGGGTCGATGTCAGCGACCAGCTGCTCACTACGGGAGGGGGAGAGGGTGCGCTCAGGGGACAGAGGGCGGGAGGCCGGGCTGCTGGTCAGGGCGACGGGACTTCCTGGCCCCTCCTCTGGGCTTGGGTCCTCTACAGAGAGAGAGAGAGAGAGAGACAACCAGCCCTCAGGAAAGAAACTTTGCTTCCACAGGCCAACAATAGGGTGATGGCAGAACAGGCCCGCTCCGGCTCTGGCTCCTGTGGGGGTCCTTACCTTTCAGCGGTAGGAAGAGCCGCTTTGGGGAAGCGCTGCGGCCTCGGATGGCCGGGCTGGGGGCACGGCCACGGCACCCGATGCCCAGGGTGCGCCGGAGGGCAGAGTGGAGGCTGCCCAGCTTAAACTCCGCATCCCGCTTCATGGCCTCCACGCGGGCCAGTTCAACCTCCAGGCCGTGGACCCGGCCCTCGGCTGCGCTCAGGCCCAGGCTCAACGCCACCACCTCGGCCTGGGCCTTCTCCAGCTTGAGTTCCAGGTTGTGGGCGTCATCCAGCAGCTTCTTCTCGTGGCCCCGGGCCTCCTCCAAGCTGCCCAGAAGCTCCTTCTCTCGCTGGCGAAACTGCCCCTCCAGGTCGGAGAGCTTCCGGTGCAGGTTGTGGAGCTGGCAGAGAGGAAGAGGAGGAGGAGGAGAGCCAGGCCGGAGGGGGCGGGTCTGGGTAACAAGTCTTCTAAAAGGGTCCCAAAGCAAGGCCACTGGAGGAATCCCCACGGAAGAAGAAGGAGAGGTTTATCCCTGAAGGAGAACTAGAACTGGGCTCTCCCCTTAAGGGCAAACAAACCGATGGCTCTCAAGTCAAGATCCCACAGCAGAGACCCTGCAGCATGATAGACTGTGGAACGCATAGCATAAAGGCCTCCTTAGCCCCCGGGTGGGGTGGAGGGAGTGTGCTGCTTATATACCACCCCATAGCACTTAAAGCACTCTCTAGGTGGTTTGCAAATGAATTTTACACCTTCCACTCCCCCTCAGCAAGCTGGGTCCTGGTTTTACCAACCTTGGAAGGATAGAGATTTGAGTCAGTCTTGAGCTGGGGCTACCTGGGATGGAACTCCAGGCCGTGAGCACCGGTTGTGGCTGCAGGACAGCCGGTTAGCCCCTGCGCCACGAGGCCCCTAAACACACCACAAAGGTCTCCACTGACTTCAACCTAGAACATCCCTGCAGGCCAAGGATCAGGGGAACCAGTGTCTGCCATGAAAACTTGATGGGAACAGAACAGCAGTGGCTGCTGAAGCAGCAGTGGAACCCCTACGGGAAGGAGCAGCCGTCTGCCCTGCAGGGCCTGGAGCTGGTCCCAGAGAGTCCTCCACCAGGCGAGACCGTCCCTCACCTCCTTCTTGGCCGACTCTCTACTGGCTTCGCTCTCCACCACCTTCTGCTTGAGACCGAAGGATTCCCGCCTGCTCTCCTCCTCCCTCTGCTCATCCAGGGTCACTCGAGCCTGCAGCTCCGCCACCTCCTTGCTCTTCTTTGCATTCTCGCTGTCCAGCATCTTGACCTGTGGGCAAGCCAGTTAAGCCAAGCAAGTGGGGGGGGGTGAGGAAAAGGGGAAAGAAAGTGCTTCCATGAAAGATTCCCTGGAGAGGAGGCGGGGAGGGTTTCATCAGAGGGCTGAAAAAGACACTGACGGGGGAATACTGCTGTGTTATCTGTCTGCTCATCCCAGTGCAGGACCTGCTGGTATTTGTACCCTTTCAAATAACTGCTGGATAGCTCAATAATTTAGATCTCTTGTCTGCACACCCAGAGGTTGGGAGTTCAATTCCCCCTCGGGGCCTCCCTGACAGGGGCTGCACTCCATGATCCACAGGGTTCCTTCCGGCTCTGCAGTTCTAAGATGATGATGGTGATGATGGTGATGCTTATGCCACACAGCTGACAGTAGGACAAGATTATGAAAACAGTGATAGCTTTTTTCCAACCCTGCCTCCACACAGGCACCAAAAGAGGTGATGGTAGTTTAAAAAGAGAAAGAAATATCACAACAAGGGGAAAAGAAAATAGGAGGGAGAAGCAAGAGAGGACAAGGAAGCGCTGTGCTTCCTTCCTTCCTTCCTTCTTTCAAGGAGAGGCAGGTAAATCCCCCAGTGAAGGACAGGGAGCCCGCAGGGGTCCAGCAGCGAGGCTGGGAGACAGACCGCAGCCCCAGTCCGTGAGAAAGCCAGCGACCACACGCTGGGCCAACTGCTCCCCCTCGGCCTGGCCTCCCCTCTTCCTCTCCAGCTCAAGCAGGCACCGAGTTGAGATGGGGATCTGGCTTCTCCTCATCATCCCAAAAGAGTGACAAACCACTCAGCTCTCCCTCAGCCTCCCTTCCACGGTCCCCCTCCCCCCAATCCCTCCGGCACCTGTCGCCGGAGCTCCTGAAGTTCCCGACGGGCTTCCAGCCGCGACCGCTCCACCTCTTGGAGGCTGCTGCGCACATCGGCGGCCTCTTTGCCGACAGCCGCCCGGGCCTCCTCCAAGAGGGAGATCTTCTGGTCCTTCTCGTCATTGGCTCGCTTCAAACTAGAGAGGGAAAGAAAGAAGCCTCAAGAACCGGCCACCCCTGGTTCTGGCTCAGAAAGCTCCCTCCCATCGGTGGGTAAACAGTCCCTGTGATGAACCCGCGGCAGTGTCAAACAGCTGCAAGTGCTGGAGGAACGCCCGACCGCTCCCTCCCATCGGTGGGAAAACAGTCCCTGTGATGAACCCGCGGCAGTTGTTCCTCGGGAGGCGCCGGTGATCCTAAGAGCAGGGGCATCCTCTTCCTCACCTGATGCGCTCGCTCTCGGCACGCTTCACAGCCCCACGCAAGTCCGCATTGGACCTCTGAAGAGCCTCTTTCTCTCTGGTCTCGTCACTCAGGGCCCTCCGCATGTCCAGGGCCTCCTTGCGCTGCAACTCCTGGGCCTCGCGGGACTCCCGGACCTTTCGATGTGCCTCCGCCAGGTCCCTGCGGACGGTGTCACGGGCCTCTTCCATCAGGCGCAGCTGCACTTTCAGTTCCTCTACCTGAATGACGAGACAGGCAGACAAGCGACCCGCGAGAGTCTGGGCCCCCTCTCTCCAGGAAGGAGATCCTGGACAGGCTGGGGGGCCGTGGTTCTAACGGGGAGGCCTGCTGTGAAACAGACAATAGATCCTCCGCCCCTCTAGGAGAGAAGGCCCTCCTCAGCACCACTTCAGCTCCCTCGTTCCGCTCCAGGAGGCCACACCGGCCCACGTGGTTTGGCTTCCTTGGCCCCCGTTGGCCTGCCTGTCTCCACCCCATGAGGCCCACTCACTCACCTCCCGCAGGGCAGACTCTCGCTGCTTGGTCAGGTCCCGGGCTTGTTCGTGGAGCCCTTTCGCCTCCCGCTCGTGATGAGCAATGGCTTCTTCAAACTGGGCGCGCAGGTTTCGGAGCTCTGCGTTCAAGGCGCTCACGGTGCTCTGTTGCGGGGCAGTAAAGTTTTTAAAATGAACCATGACGACTCAGGCCTAGACGTGCCTGGATACATCCCGCCCTGACTGGACCGTAAAAGCATGTGGACAATTGAGCCACAGAGAAATGCTGCCAAGTAGGTTCAAGAAGAGCCGAATTGTGAAACCTGGATAATCAATGCAAACCAGCCCTGTTTTCATAGGGAGAGCTGTGGGTAAGAGGGCCCTGCCGCCAACCACTCGCACGCCCTTCTCCGTCGCAGAGTGAGTCCCATCTCCGTCCCTCCGCCTTCCTGGCATCTTACCCGCTCCTGCTCCTGGCGGCTCCGGGCTTCACGCTTGAGCCGCTCTGTCTCCATCTGGACGCTGGCCAAGCTCTGCTGAGCCGCCGAGAGCTTCTCCTGCAGGATGGCCTTCTCCGACTCCTTCTCCGAGAGAGCCTGACGGAGGCAGAAGCCAGTGAGGGAGTCAGTGGGAGCCCCTGCTGGCTGCGCCCTGGGCTTCCTTGCCCGCAGAGGGCAATGGGTCCAGATAGGAAGGAAGATCTGTGGCTCCCTGTGCCCCTTTTTGTTGGTAGAAGAGGACCACCACAGCAGAGGCCACCCTCGCCCCAATGCCTCCCCTCTGTTAGGATTACTCCTTACGGAACAGGGTTGCCTAATTGTCCCTTTGCTCTGCCTTCACCGAAGCCGCCTGGCCTTGGAATCCAACCACAACCAAAGATTGTCTCCCAGGGTCACAGAGATGAGGTAGGAGGGTTAAAAGTTCAGTGTACCCATCTCCCTATTTCCATTCAGCAGCATCAGGCAAGTAGGCAGAATGGGGGGGGGGAATGTTATTTGCTGCAAAAAAACTGAGATCTTTGGCACTAAGATCAGCATGCTCAGTAAGGAGCCACTGTTTGGTGGCGCTCTAAACAAGACAGTTTCTAGTCCTCATCAAGGAAGAGAAAGAATCACACCCTTCAGATTCCCTGAAATGGGAAGTTTATCTTCCTGAATTATTTCCTACAGGTAAAAAAAATTAAAAAATAGAACGCAGCAGAATTCAGATTCGTGCATAAGCTTGTCACCTGATGACTCTGGTGCCACAATCACCACACACCCTCTTTTGCAAGTAACCCCTCCTGAGGTGCGTGCCCATGCGCGCGCACACGCACACAAACGCAGGAGCCCGGCCTTCACCTGTTGCTTTTCGTTCTCGGCAAGCAGGAGGCTCTCGTCTCGCTCCTGCTGAAGGGCCGCCATCTCCTCGCTCAGCTCCTCTTTCTCGGCCTCGCAGCGGGCCAGCAGCTCCTCCCGCTCTTGGGCCAGGCGCCGCAGAACCTCCTTGTGCTCCGATTCCAGCTCCAGGCGCAGCACCTCCTGCCAAGACAGCCACAGAGCTCCGTCAGGGAGTCCCCTCCCGCGTAAAGGCCACCAATGGCATGCAAGCCATGGTGGCCAGTGAACAGCGGCACCCCACAGCCCTGCAAGGGGGTACATGGTGTCCCAAAGGGCCTGCATCACCCTCACAGCCCCAGCCACTGTGCATCCTTCGTTGGCACTCACCTTCTCCCTCTGGAGACGATCCACATCCTCCTCAAAAGCCACCTGGGCCTTCCGCCGGGCAGCCTTGGCATCGAGCTCTGACTGAGTGAGCTTCTGAGTGGCCATCTCCTTGTCCCGCTCCAGCTGGCTCACCTCGGCCTCCATCTGCTTGCGGGTCCTGGAGAGCTCCACTGTGTTGAAAGGACAGGAAGGCAAGAAGCCATCTGTTCAGAGAGCTGGAGGAAAGGGACAGAGAGGGCCCGGAGGGGAGGGGAAGGTGCCCCCTCCCATTCAGAGCGTCCCAGGGCGTAAAAGAGTAGCATGGCTCCAATTCAAGAGCTGGAGGCAGGCTGGAAAACGGGGAAAGCTCAACCCCACACAGGCCTGCCTCTTCCGGGAGGAAAGCTCTGCACCCCCTAAGGAGAAAGCGGGTTGCGGTCTCCCTCCAACAGCTCTGCGCTCTACTGCTTCCCCATTATTCTCCTTCTGTTGCAAAAAGGCCAGCTGGATTTTTCCAGGGCTAGAAAAGCTGCCTTGATCATGAACTTGATCTTGCCCTTTTTCCTGGCTGGGAACCTTTGAAGTCCTTTCTATCAAACACTTTTGAAAGAAGCAGACATGTTAAGTCTGTCTCTGCCTGTGGGCAAAAGAAAAACAAAAGCCAAATGCTGTAGCGCTTTAAAGACTAACAGCTTTATTTTTTATGTGAGTGGTCATCAATCCAAATATATTTTCTAAGACATAAACAATGGAAATATCATACACCATACAGTCCTTCTTCTCCTTATGCCTGATGGAGTGGAATTGGATCCATAATATCTCACACTGAGATACATCTGTTTGTCCTCAAAGTGCTATGATAGTTTGCTTTTTTTTTTTTCATTTACCAACAGTTTGTGGAAGAGACTCCTGAAAGGGACTCCTACCTTAGGAGGCAGGAAAAATAAACCCCTCTGCAAATGAAGAGGAACAAGTCCTTGACAGAGGAACCAACACAGAGACAGGTGGACAAGGTGAGACCCAGAGGCCCTCTCCACTCTTCAGAGGGGCCACAGAGGGAGCTGAGGGAAGAAGACAGGTCTTCCCGACACCACAAGACGACTGTGGTGCGAGCAGTACATGGGGGGACCACACAGCAGCAGAAGCAAAGAGCCCCTACAAAGGTTGCCGCCCAGAATGGGGCCACAGGAAGGAAGAGAGGGAAGAAGTAAGAAGAAGGATCTGAAAGAAGGACCTCCTTCTCCGAAAATCCCCCTTACCCTGCAAGGCTTCCTTGGCCAGAAGCAAGGTCTGGTTATCCGCTTCCAGCTGCTCCTTCCGGGAGTCCAGCTGTGCCAGATGTTGCTGGATCTCAAAGAGGGTCATCTCTAGAGTGTCCTTTTCAGACCTGGAGAGAGAGAGAGAGGGGAGGGCAAAGCAGAGTCTTGTGTTGGTTTTGCTACAGAAAACACAAGCAGCTCCTGCTTCAATGAGCGAAGCTGTAACACACCTTGCCGCACCTTCCTGCCAACTGTTTACAAGCACCCCTGCAGCTTGGTTACCATCTGGCTGTGCCCAGGGAAGCCGCTCAGAGGGCAGACTGCATGCATCGCCCCACCTGCCATCCCCACAGATCGATCAGGCTCCAAAGAGGACCCCCCCCAAGGGGCCTCCATTTCCCCCAACACCCACCTTAGGCCAGAACATTCCTCTAAGAGCCCTCGATTCTCTCGCTCGGAGGATGCCAGCTGTACCACCAGGCAGGCTTTCTCCTTCATCAGTGCCTCCTTCTCCTTGCCTGCCCGGAGCAGGGCCTCGCTGTGACCCGCCAGGTCCCTGCGCATTTGTGCCAGCTCTTCAACAGCTGAATTCCTCTGGCGGGACATCTAAGCAGGCGAGCAAGCAAGAAGGAAGGGATGTTAGCACCACGACATACCATAGGGCCTCCCTGCTGCCACGGCCACTCCCAGCCCCTCTTTTCATCACTGGCTCGCTGAACTTGCCCCAAAGATGGGTCCTCGTGCCTTTAGGACTGGTCCTCCCCCCTGCAACCACTCGTGAAAAAGATCACGGATCCAGGACTTGGGTGTAAAAAGGCTGGGTCAGAGGGCGGGGGGGGGGGAACCACGACATGTCAATACCAGGCTCCATTGTGTGGAATTTAAAGCTGACCCACCCAGCAGCCAAGGCTCCGTGAAGTTCAAACTCTGACCAACCATTCAGGTCCTGGTCGTAGTTCGGGTCTAGCAACACTCAAAAAAGCCACAACACACCCTAAGGTGCCTCCAGCCAATATCAGGTTGGCAAGGCCTGCTTTGCAACACCACCCCCACCCCCGGACGCACCTGCCCTAGCTGCTCCTGGAGCTGCCCCTTTTCCTTCCGCAGCCCTGCCAGATCCTGCTCCAGCCTCTCCCGGCTCTGCTCCACAGCATGCAGGGAGTGACCCAGCCCGTGCCGCTCGGTGTCCAGGTCCAGCTTCTCCTGTTCCAGCCGCACCAGCTCCTCCCGGAGGGTGGCCTTCTCCTGCTCCGCTTCCTGCTTCTTCCCCCACAGAGAGGATTTCTCCTCCTCCAACTGAGCCCCGTGAGAAAGGACAGAGAGAGAGGACAGGGGAGGGTGGCAGACATGAGGGTGGCAGACATAAGGGGTTCTGGTCTTCCTTCTGCCGTGGCTGCCACTGCTGCTCACTCACTGACAGAAGATCGGCGGACCTTTTTTTAACCTGGGCTCCAGGGAAAACCTTCCTGACATTCGACTCCTTCCACAGTGCTTAGGGTTAGCCCTGGGCTTAATCCTTTGGAAGCTGATCTTCCCTGGAAGCCAAAGGCTGTGGCCCATGCAAAGGCCATGAGCCAGATCTCCCTCCCTCCCTTTCGCCCCGACCCCCAACCCCACCCATTAGGCTCTCTCTAGACTCCCGGCAAGCCTGCTAGATTCCTGGGGACTCTGGAAGCCTCCCATACCCGCTTCCCCAAGCTAGAGGTCAGACACTGCCCCCACAAAAGGCCACCGATCAGAAGCATGCCAGACTGAGACACTCTCCTTGTGAGACAGGCATGCAGAGGCCTCCTTACCTGGATGATGATCTGGTTGAGCTCCATTTTGTCTTGTGCCAGGCCCTCATTGAGGGCACTCATCTTAGAGAGGGAGTCGTGCATGGAGGCCTCCTCGGCCTTCAGACGGTTCAGGGCCAGTTCCACCTCAGCCCAGCTCACTTCCGCCTGGACAAGAATTCCAGTGGTGAGGCATCAAGAGAGAGGGAGAGAGAGAGAGGGAGAGAGAGAGAGAGAGAAAGCATAAAGAGGTGGCTCTATAAGCAAGTCACGTCAAAGAACCCCTGTTCCATGGGAGGACAGCTTTGCTACCCACTTGGGTCTACAGAGGCACCTCTAGAGAAACTCCATGAAACCCTGATTCTCCCAGGTGACTGTCCTTCCTCTGGGAAAAGCACACAATGGGACAGAGGCCCACGGAAACTGTTTTGTTAACTTCTGTGGTTTAGGCTATATTTCCCAGACTTTGTCATGGGAGAATCTCTGCAGGTTTCTAGGAGTTACAGTCCACAGAATGCAAAAAGCCCCTGCCTCTAATAAACTCAACAGCTTCAATGGCAACCTAAAGTAGACACATGGGTGTGAAACAATTAGAACAGATACTTGTTCACTTTTCGATACTTTCCAAGGTCAAAATGATTTCTCTAACACTCTAAGAGGAGAGAAGTCCATGCCACAAACCAAGAGAAACATGAGCAATTGACTTCAGTATCTGAAGCCCCAAGTGATGCAGACCCCCCCCCCATATGCCAGGTTCACCGGAATCTGCAGGTGCCTCCCCGGGTGTTCCCAAGCTAGAAGGCAGATGCTGAATCCTTGCAGGCTGGCGTTCCCGGCCACAGCCATTCAGGCGCACGCTGGTCCTACCGAGCGAGAGAAACATTGCAGATGGGGAAACCGACACCCCCTCCACACACCCAACCGACCAGGGACCCTACTGGCCTTGGCAAGGGCTTCCGCCACCTCGGCCTTCTCACTTTCTGCCACCTCCTTCTCCAGGACAGCCTTGCTCAGAGCCTCCTTGACCACAACCAACTCCTTCTTCAGGCTGGACTTCTTCCCTTCCAGCTGCTCCAGTTGCCTGTGGCTGAGAGGACAGAAATAGCTGGGAGTGTCACTGGGTCAATACGGAGTCAAGGAGACTCAAATGGGACACGATAGCGGCCAACCTGCTTTGTCAGCAAGGGGACATATATTGGCTACCTGACCAGAAGCCTCCTGCATCTTCATCTCTAAAGGGAGACAAATTTATTTTAGACTGTTTTGACATTGCAAAGGGAAAACCCCGTGTCAAGTCTGGCTCCTGAATGTCCCCCCAAAAGTGTTGAGCTCTCTTCTCATGTTTAGAAATACGTCCAAAAATACGCTTCTTCTTAGCTGCCGATCACCTGCTCATGAAATAAGATCCCACGGACGGGGAGATGTTCAGCCCAAATGTGGCGGAGGCTCCACAGCCTCTTCCAACAACAGCTTCTCTGCCTCCCTCGCCCAGAAGGGCCAGAATCCCCCAGCCCTGAAGGTCCCCACCATCACCAACCTCCGCTCCACCTCCTTCTCGGCCCGCGCCTTGTCCTTCAGGAGGTCCTCCTTCTCTTCTGCAAGGCTGTCACATTGGCGCTGGACGTCACCAAGGGCCAGCTGCAGCTTCTCCTTCTCCTGACGCAGATCTTCCTGCGCCTGCTGGGCACTTTGCAGGCTCTTCTCCAAGACAGTCTTTTCACTAGGGTGTATTGGGGGGGCGGAGACGGAAAACTTTAGCCTTGTGAAGGCAGGAACCCCAGCAGCCTCCACACACGCACACACACACACACACAGACCTTGTCATGTGGGTCTGGAAAGGACAACCAGAGATAACCGCTGAGGCCCAGTGGCTCTGCCCCTAAAGCAGGCTCAAAGGTGGATGGCTGCAGTGAGGAGCCTTCTGTCAAGACCTCTCACAAGTTGCTTTGTAACAGCCCAACAACAAGAAACCCCCATTATATTTTTCCACCCTCTGCTTCATGCAGAGAGTTCTAAGC